ATTCATCCTTCTTCCATTAGAAGGTAAACTTCTTCAGGAAAGAGATTATGTTTTATTTATCTTAGCATCATATGCATGTAGGTGTATGTCATACTAAATTTTACAAAATCAACTATTAATATCTACTTTCTAGAATTATGGCAGCAGGAAACTGATAAAAGAAGTACCTAATAAAAATGACACTGTGCCATAAATGCCTATAACCAAAAGTCAAAAAGATCACAAATAGACAATCTAATGAAACGACTCAAAGAGCTGGAAAAAGAAGAACAGACCAGCCCCAAACCCAGCAGAAGGAGTGAAAATCAAAACAAAAGATCCAAATTCCGGACTAAACGGAAATTGAACGGGAAGGCTTCAGGAGATTTAGTGAAACAAAAAGTTTGGGTTCTTTGAAAAAATAAACAAAATTGGAACACGCACTGGCTAAAAGGCTACGAGCCAAAAACAATAAGTCATTCAGAACAAAATCAAATGGATCCCAAGAAGAAACAAGATATTTTTATTTATGAGTTTTACTACAAAAAATTTAGAAACTGAAAAAAGACTTTTCAGAACCCACCTTCCCTTGGCTTTTTCAAATCAGGAAGAATTGATTTTCCTAAAAGGGACCCAAATCTCAAACAAAGCTGGAAATAAAAACGAAAATTAAAATCTCCCAAAAAGAAAAGGTTTTTTTTCCCGGTCCAGATGGGCTTTTCACACCCGAATTTTACCAGGGAAGGAATTAGTACCTTATCTTGCAAGAAAACTATTTCCCCAAAAACATCGAGCAAGAATGGAAAACCTTCCCCGACCACCATTATTGAGGGAAATTACTTTGATTACCAAAAACAGGAGTGCAACAAAAAAAAAAAGAACTAAAAGACCAATTATCCAAATGAAAATATAAGATTGCAATTTTCAAACGAAATTAAGCTAAACCGGAATTCGAGCTATTCAAAATAATCAACGACCAAAGTGGGCTTTATCCCAAGAAGTTGTAGGGGATTTTCAAAACTACGTTAATCTATAAATTGGCAATTCACCCAAACATAAACCGAGCAAAAAACAAAAACAACATGATTTCTCTAATAGATGGGCAGAAAAAGCTTTGGGGACATTCAAACCAACTTATGATACGGAACAACTTAGAAAAATAAGGCATAAGAAGGGACTTACTAAAATGAACCAAGGGCCCTATAATTGACAGGGGGACCATAAAGCCAACATCCTACTTTGAATGGGGAACTAAAGCATTTTTTCCCACTTTTAAGAAAACTGGATAAACCAGACCAGGCTTGCCCACTATCTTCCAATTGTTTCAAACCATTAGTGTGGAAAGTCTTGGCTACAAAGGCAATTCCCAGCAGGAAATGAACCCCAAAAAGGTATCCAGCATAAGGCAGAAGGAGATCAACTTTTCCAACTGTTTGTGGGATAAATTTATTTAGAAAACCAAAAAGTTCAAAAAACAAAAAAAACTATCCTGGAACTGTCATTGAATTTTGTAAAAGTCCTCGGATACAAATCATAACCAACAGAAAATTTTTCAAGAGGCATTCATTATTTCGCCCAAAACAGACATCTCCCATTGGGAATTAAATTTCAAAGGACTCATTGTCCCTTCCAAATTTGGAACAAAGAAATAAATAACTGGAATATTACTTAAACCAAAGGGAGGTTAAAAAGAACCTTTCTACGGGGAGGGAAACTAGAACACTGAGGGAAGGGAAAATAGGCAGAGATTGTAACAGATGAAAATTTTCAATTTCGATTGCTTCATGGATTCTATTTAAAAAAATCCCATCAACAATTCTCCACAAGTATTAGAAAAAATATTTTTTACGCTTTGTTTATGGAACAAAAAGACCCTGAATTTCAAGAGGATTTTTAGCAACCAACAAAAAATGGAGTTATTTAATATTTGGCAGATTAATCAACTATATTAAAAGCTGTTACGTATTAAAAAACAATCTGGGTTATTGGCACCAAAAAATAGGAAATTATTGGACCAGTGGAAACGATGTGAGATCTGATATTAAACCATTCCTTCCATTATTTTCATCTTACTTGGGACAAAGCAGACCAAAAACATACACGGGGAAAGAAATTCCCTTTTCAATAATGTGCTGGAACTGGATAAGGCCCAAAAACTGTTTAAAGGCTAAAAGGCCAGGGACACCCACAACCTTTTTCACCTCCACAAAAAAATCAACTTCACGCTGGATAAACAGAAACCTTACCTAAGGTATGAACTTAATTAAAGTTTCTAGAGGAAAAATTTTTGGAAAACATTTTCTCCTAGACATGGCCTAGGCAAAAGGTTTATGAAGAAGCCCCCAAAGGGGCATTTCACAAAAGCAAGCCAACAAAAAAATATGGGATATGATCCAAACTACAAAGTTCTGCCACAGCCAAGAAAAAACAGTCATTGAAAGTTAAAACAGGAACAACCTTTTTACAGATGGGAGAAAATTTTTTTTGATCTACTATTCGATTAAAGGGCTGAATTAAAACTAAGGGAATAACTTAGAAACTCCGGGAAAAAATCCGGAAGAAAAAATTAAATAAAACCTATCTAAAAAAGTGGGCAAAGGACTTTGAAAACAGAACTTTCTTAAAGAAAAAAGGAAGAATGGCAAAACCAACATATGGAAAAAAAAAATGTCATCATCTCTAAATTCAATCAGGGAAATTTTTACAATCCAAAAACTACAAAAATTGAAGATAATTCACTTAAACTCCAGTGAGAATTCGGCCCTTATTCCAAAAGTCTCCAATTTAAAAATGCTGGGCCTGGTTGAGGTGAACAAGAGAGAAACAAATCCTAACACTGCTTGGGTGGGGCTCAAAACTAGTCAAACCTTTTCTTGGAAAAAGCAATATGAGGATTTTACCTTAAAAGCGATACATTGATCTAAACAAAATTGATTCCAGCATTCTTCATTAACTGGGCATTCATTCCAAAAGAGCCAATGAACATCTACATTAAAAGTTTTTTATATGTATGTTTTTTAATGTATAGCAAAGCACAATTTTCATATTGCAAGGCTGTGGAAAGCCAGGCCCAAGCCCATTCATTGTTGTTTATATGTTTTTTGTTTTATATGTATACCATGTGTGTACTATTCAGCTCTAAGAAACCATTGTTGTTTTTGTTAGCACATCTTATATTTTCCTGGTTAGAGCTGGAACCCATACTACTAAGTGAAGTATCCCAAGAATGGAAAAACAAGCACCAGATATATTCACCAGCAAACTGGTATTAACTGAGTAGCACCTAAGTGGACACATAGATACTACAGTAATAGGGTATTGGGGAGGGGGGGGAGAGAGGGGCGGGTATATACATACATAATGAGTGACATGTGCACCATCTGAGGGATGGTCATGCTGGAAACTCAGACTTGTGGGGGAGGGGGAGAAAGGGCATTTATTGAAACCTTAAAATCTATACCCCCATAATATGCCGAAATAAAAAAAAAAAGAAAATGCTGAAATTTCAAATAATTACGTCTCATTTCTAAAAATCAGAATGTTCTGTTTTGTTTTCTTTTACATATTGTATAACCTCATATTTCTTTCATATTAAACAAATAAACTTCATACATTAACATGTAATAATGCAAAAGCTACATTAATCTTTCCTAGGGAAGTAATCACTAACTAGAATTTAAGGCGCTATAATAATGAACAGTGATTTTTATGAAACCATTCCATTTCTTTCTTTATTTTCTATTTTTTATTTTTATTTTGTTTAGAGGTAGGGTCTTACTCTGTCAGGCAGGCTGGAGTACAGTGGCATGATCATAGCTTACTGTACCCTAGAATTCCTAGCCTGAAATGGTACTCCTGCCTCAGCCTCCCAAGTAACTGGGACTACAGGTGCGTGCCATCACAAATGGATAATTTTTTAAATTTTTGGTAGAGACAGGGTCTCACTATGTTGCCTAGGCTGGTCTCATACTCCTGGCCTCAAGTGATCCTATTGCTTTGGCCTCCCAAAGCACAGTGATTATAGGTGTGAGTTACTGTGCCCGGTCCCCATTCCATTTCTAACAAAAAATATTAAAAAAAAATGACATTGTGTTATGTATTGTAGTATAATGGGATGTATTAAAGTCCCAAATTACAGAAGATTCTAATAGCAGTTGCAAGAATATGGCTAAAAGCTCTTACCTCGCCACTATATGCACCCTAGCTATTTATTTTCTATATCTATTCTTTCTTTTTTTTTCTCATAATTTAGTGGGGTAAATTTCAAGTATGTTTACATTTGATCCCACTGATAAATTTATATTAAACTTAGGCCAATGACTGGGTTCTATACTTGGACCCCACTTAAGTCTCAGCAGTTATTCCACCATAAAAGACCAAGTTAGGCATATCTAAGCCCCTGGAAGAGTCACCAAGAAACTTCAACATTTTGATGACTTTTCTCTGAAAGAAAATACCTAGATTATCATAGTATTCAACTTAGGAAACAGTGTTACAACTGATAAACACTACCATAACTAAAATAACATATTAATTTATGATGGTTTCCATAGAGTCAAAAGTTTTCACTGACATGTAGATTTTAGTTAAGACTAGGAACAAAATCATGTAAAACATGTTTATAACAGTTGTTATGCCCAATCTCTTAAAACATACCTTTGAGATATGAACAATGGAATATCATGTGTAATTTTTAATTTAATGTTAACTATAAAGGTAGATGAGCTCCCCCACCCAACCAATGCTTACAGCAACAAGGCTTCAATGGTCCAAATGTGACTTTTAGCTTTGCCATATTATTCAGTACAGACTGGAACTCAGACTATGATGCTGGGGTGGCCCATCAAGAATTCTGATCATAGGCTTCCTTTACCTCCAAGTCTCCAGCCTGGACAGTACTCTTACTGTTCTGCACTCTAGTTGGGCATGAAGTCCTAATATCACCAGTGCTAACCACAATGCCACCAGCAACAGTCTAACTTCAATAAAATAAAATAAAATGTAGTTAATTATTATCTTACCACTAGTTCCTGGTGGTTGTAATACATCTCCTGTCAGGCTACACCATCCAACTGGGAAAATATCTCGAGAATCATATTTGCACCAATAATCAAAACCTCCACTCCAGCCATCAAATGTGATGTGAACTTCATCTCCTTTAACACTTCCAATAGTTGCAGGGCAGATCAGATAAGGATTCTTTTTGTCTACAGCTTCGAGTTTCATCCCCACTTTAAAATTATTTAGGGGTGGCCTTGGTGGTTCCTACCAAAACATTAAGCAAAAAAATTAGATTGTTAAGACATATTAGAACCATTTGCTCAAGTGTATTCTTTTACAATCCTTAGCAACCAAAAATTAAGTTCTATGTTTAATTATCAATTAATATAGGAAGAAAACAGTTCTCACAGATCTGAAACTCTGCTCTCCACCATCTCACTTTTCTTCTGGAGCATAGCCAAGAACTTGGAAAGAAACAAAACCAGCCTCATTCATTCATTCATTCATTCATTCAAGAAATATGTATTATCTACAAGTACCAGGAATGTAAGATTCAATGGTGAAGAAAAATATCAAAGATCCTGTTCTGGTGAGTTTACATTCTAGTGGTGGTGGTAATGATTGGGGGCAGGTGAGAGCTCTTAACAAGAAATTTTAGAAGAAACAGTCAGACAAACATAATAAATATGTAAATTATAGGGTATTTTGAAAGGTGAGAAGTCCAAAGAAAAGGAAGAGCAGCAGATAATACCCTCAAAGAAACTCAAAGTATAAAATGTAGACACAAGAATATGAACGTCATATAGCCTGGGGTCTTTTACTGTATCCAATCCAGAAACCATTATTTTAAAAACATTCCTTAGTCATAAAAAGTTAAAACATGTAAATGCTAACAGGATTCTTAGAAATCCTAAGTGCTATGGTTAAAAGCAACCAATATCTTTTCTTTCAATCTGCTTTTCATACTAGTAAATGGCACCATCACAGCAACCCATCCACCCAAGACAAATGCCTGGAAATACATAGTCATGAGCCAGTTCTCAGTCCTACTGAACATTAGAATCACCTGTGGCCACACCAGCAGCAACACTGATTGAACTGGTCTAAGGTGGGCATGGGTCTCAGCACATTTTAATTCCCCCAGGTGATTCTAATGTGCTGAGAACCATTGCCTTAGACTCATCCCTTTCACTTACCCACAACCCAATCAAAAACTGCTACCTGCCAATCAGAGCTGGATTTTAAACCTAGGCAGTCTGTCTTGGAGCCACCTCCTTGGAACACCATTACTCCATCACCTGCCTGGCCAACTCCAAATCACCCAGTTTAAAGTCCAGCTCTCCTAGCCTCTTTGAATGCTTCCCTGACCAACCCCAGCCCACTCCCAGGCCCACCTCAAACACAGCCACTCTCAAAATTGTGATACCACTCTTAAAATGTATTCGCTCCTCCATGAGACTAAGAAATCTTAAAAGTAGGTATGATGTCTTATTCATATTGTTATTTCTAGCACAGTACCCAACATCAAGCATTTTTTAAAATGAAAGAACTAAAGAATCACGGGAGAACAGTAAACAAGTTCTCAATTCTTTCACCAAGACAATTTTTAAAATATATCTAGTAGGTTGGCTCCTTTTTCAAATACCCTCTTTAGGATGATGAGATAGGTTTTAAGGGGGCATTTGAAATGGTCATCCTGTACTTTTCTGTTGTTACCCTTTACAGCACTGCAATCTGAAAGTTCCTTAATTATTAACTTTCAAAGTCCTTTTAATTATATATTCTTAATTTGATTCTTAAAAAAAACACCCTGAAAGTTGGCAGGTCAAAAGTTAGCTTTATCAAAGATCAAAGTATTTTATAAATAAATAGCTGGTAAGTAAGAAACAGAAGTACATGAAGGGGCTAAAGGTCAATTGTCACTACATATGAGAAGAAGAAAAAAGGGAAGGAGGATTTAACAAAGAATAATGATGGCAGTTGACAAATTTGTCCTGGACACTCAGAGAATGAAGAAAACGTTCAAGGCACACATAAGGATACCAGGACCTTACCCTGTCATATAGCAGACTAAAATAAGTTCAAATGGCAATATATATTTTCTGTTACAAAACAGAATTAAAAGACAGGAAAGAGCAGAAAGATAGAACTAATTTTAAGAGTCAAATATATAACCTAAAAATATATCCAAATATGATTATGTCGTCAATATCACTATTAGCTGGCAAGTGGCAAAAACTAGAAAATGATTACAGACAAAATGAAATTTATTCTCTGAAGATTTTCATGTTTATTAATTCTTCTAAATTTCATGAATAGTCTATCAACTTTACTTACATTAGTATAATCATATAAGTAAATATAAACAGAGCTGTGGAAGAAACTAATTTTTATTTAAAAAAAAAATCAAAGGAACTACTATTTTTTCCCAAACATAGGAAGTGAAAGGGATTTATCTTAAAACAAGCTATCTTCAGATTTAGGTTAATTGGCAAAATGGTTCCCTCTGCTGTCCACAAAAGGTACTGATACAAAGTTGTTTTTAATTTTTTTTTTTTTTTTTTTTTTTTGAGACAGAGTCTGGCTTTGTTGCCCAGGCTAGAGTGAGTGCCGTGGCGTCAGCCTAGCTCACAGCAACCTCAAGCTCCTGGGCTCAAGCAATCCTCCTGCCTCAGCCTCCTGAGTAGCTGGGACTACAGGCATGTGCCACCACGCCCAGCTCATTTTTTCTATATATATATTAGTTGGCCAATTAATTTCTTTCTATTTATAGTAGAGACGGGGTCTCGCTCTTGCTCAGGCTGGTTCCGAACTCCTGACCTCAAGTATCCGCCTGCCTCGGCCTCCCAGAGTGCTAGGATTACAGGCGTGAGCCATCACGCCCGGCCTAAATATTTTTTTATATAAAATATTTGTACATATCTTGGGGGTACATGTGATATTTTGATATATGTATTAATATACAATGTGTAATGATCAAATCAGGGTAATTGAGATATCCATCACCTCAAACATTTGTGTTGGGAACATTACAATTCTAGCTATTTTGAAATAAACAATAAATTATTGTTAACTATAATTTCTCTGCTGTACTATCAAATACTATTATAAATAAAGAGACCAGTGAGGAAGCTAATGTAGTAATCCAAGTGAGAGATAAAGGCAGATTATACTACAGCGATAGCAACAGAGATGATAAGAAGTGGCTAAATTTTGGATATACAGTCATTCCTCAGTATCCACAAGGAACTGGTTTCCAGGATCCCCTGAGGATACCAAAATCTGAGGATGCTCAAGTTCCTTATATAAAATGGCATAATATTTGCATATAACCTATGCATATCCTCTCATATACTTTAAATCATCTCTAGATTACTTATAATACCTAATATAAATGCTATGTAAATAGCTGTTATCCTGTATTTTTAAAATTTATATTTTTTTTGTTATATTGGTTTTTTAAAATATTTTCAATCGAGGTTGGTTGAACCTGTGGATGAAGAACCTGAGGATATTTTGAAGGAAGAGTTGATAGGATTTCCTTATGGATTGGATGTAGGGTGTGAAAGAAATAATCACCAAGGTCTGTGACTTGAGCAACTGAAGGACGGCTGCCTGACCCTGAGATGGGGAGGTAGCAATTTGAGATGTCCATTAGACATCCAAGTGGAGATACTGAGTAGGTAGCTACATATACAAGCCTGATTTGGGAGTAAAAAGTCTGGATTGGAAAATATAAATTTGAAAGTCATTTGCATATAAACTGTATTTAAAATTAAAAAAAACTAGATGAGATCACCAAGGAATTGATGCATAGGATTTCTCAGCTTTGGCACTATTGATACTTGGGGCCAGAACATTTTTTATTGTGGGGGGCTGTTCTGTACTGTAGGATATTTAGCAGCACCCTGGTCTCTACCCACTAGATGTCAGTAGCACCCCCTCACACACACACAGTTACAACAAACACACGTGTCCCCGGACACTTTCAAATGTCCCTGGAGGGTGGGGGGCAAATCGCCCACCCTCTCCACCCCTGCTTGAGAACCACTGACATAAATAAAAAAGAGGACCAAACACTCAAACATTTTAACATTCTCTTTCACATCCAGGTTACAGAGCAGCATTTCCTTACTTTCTTCTCAGAACCCCAAAGCAATTTTATTCCCTTGTCATTACCAAACCTTAGTTCAATATCACCATCCATTTCACCTATTGATACTAAGCTGGTAAGCACTGCTGGACCAAAGTCCCACATGCTTATGGCATGTGGTGCCAAACACTTTTACTTTTCATTCTTAGCTGAGCCCTCTACAATACTGTCCTCTGTCCTTAGACATTCCCTCTCTCATCCCATACAAGCTGCTCCAAACCTTTACAATTTTCCTTAAAATCAATGATGTATCCTCATTATATTGTTTATTATTTTGTTAACTTTCTCCCCTAGTGATTAAGCTTACTGCCTAAGTGTTAGAACATAGTATATATTCAATCTATGTATGACTCCCACTCCAGCCTTTCACAGAAATAGGAATTTGAGGTCTATTTACAGAAACAGTAAATTGAAGTCATTGGGAATGAACTCTATCAATATTCTAGTCTCAAAATTAAAAATTTAGCTCTGAGGACACTTTTCACCTGGACTTTAGCACTTGCTAATGTAACTGAAGACTGTGTATCTACCAAATAGTTAAGAATCAGCTTTCCTCTTAACTGATCTCTCTCAAGTACATGATATGGGCCAGGCACTGTACAATTCTGAATTGTACTTGTGACTGTTAACCACTCCCTAATCCTTGCAAGTCTTTGTTCCACTGGGTTCAATAACACCAGTTAATTCTGGTTTTCCTCCTCCCTCTACTTCTAGGGCTGGCTGCTCCTATCCTTTTACCCACCCCATAAATGTAGATGGGTATTTCTCAAGGCTTGAACCTTGACATTCCTCTCCTTTCCTTCTATACATTCTCTAGCTCATTCGTGCTCAAGGATTCCATCACTACTATTTATGCTAAAAACTTCCAAATCCACATGCTCAAGACAAACTTTGTTTCTAAGTTCTAAACCCTTTACTTGCAACAGACTAGTAGTCATCCCTACTCAAATTTCCCAGAAGCACCTCGCCTCAATGTGTCTAAAACAAAACCCAGCTGCTCCTTCCATATGTAGCCATCTTCCTGTATTCCCTATCTATCCTTCTTCATTCATTTAACAAATAAATATGTGCCCAGGAACTAAGACAGGTGCTGAAAATACAAAGATATGTTAACTGCTCAAAAGGAACTCTCAGTCTAGGAAGCAAGAGAGACAGTGAAAATAATAATATAATCGAATACATACAAACATTGAGATATGCACAAGGGGCTACAGATGTGTAAGAATGGAGAGGGAGAATTAGGCATGGTATCTTGGAGGATTTAATGCCTGACCTGAATCTTTAAAAAGTAGAAGTCAGCCAGGGAAAAACAAGCATGAGTCAAAGCACAGCTCTAAAAAGGAACAGGTATCTATTATAAGCAATTTAGAACATAAAATCCAAAGCAAGGAGTGGCAGCCATAAACCAGATCACACAGGACCTAACAGGCCATATTAAGAAATTTACACTTCATCCTGAGTGTGACCAGGAACTTTTAAAGAGTTTTAAGCAGGAGAATTATGTGGTAAGGTTTTTCTTTTTTTTCTTTTTTTTTTTGTCAGATATACATTTCTAGCAGTTGTGTGTAAGAATGAAGTTTAGAGGCAGTTAAAAGACTAGTGTAACAGTCTGGGCAAGAGGAAAGACTTGTGAAAGTTGTCAGAATCAACATGGAATCACTTACGCCAAACCCTAACAAAATGGAGTCAGGTAACCATAGAGGAGGGATTCTAATGCATACATGCCTATGATAAAGACTATTACAAAGACTCTCTGAAAACCATGACCTTGCACATAGGCCACCACAACCTTACACAAAGAATCCTCTGCAGAGACTTCTGTCCAGCAACTGCCTGTTCAACCCTGAACACTACTCTTGTTATTGATCCTTACAGCTGAGGATAATTGTTTCAATACAACTTATGTAACCTTCCACATTTTGCTTTCAAAAGCTTCCCCTTCCCTTAACCTCCCCAGATATGCCTATCATCCATCACAGTTCCAATATCCCAGATTGCAAATCTCCTGTCAAGTCATTCCCAAATAAACTCATTTTTTTGTTTTTTTGCTGAGTCTCATTTTCTGTTGTTATTTTAGGTTGACAGCCTCCATGAGGGGCAGTGATGGTAAGGTTAGAAAGAAAAGACAGAAGAAATAATTAGGGAGGTAAGTGGGTGGCTCTTCCTAATTAATTGGCTATCCTGAGGCCAAAGTCAAGGAGGAGTGAGGATTTAAGATGGTTCCTGACCAAGTTTCAAGCTTCGTTGAAACACACACACACACATCATTAAGAAGAAGAAAAGAAATCCAATTGAAAAACAGGCAAAGACAATTCACAGAAAAAGCAAGATGCTATTAAACAAATATAAAAAGCTCAATTTCACTAGTAATCAGTGCAATGCAAATTAGAACAATGGGATACCACCCCCATCTTCACCACCCCCCAAAAGATTCACAGAATTTTAAAAGATGGATAATATTCAATGTTAGTGAAGATGTAGGAATACAAACATGTCTATATACTAATGATAGAGCACAGCTTGGAACACCCTTTCAGGATGCAATTTAATGGTATACATCAACACTTAAAACATACATCCCTTTGAACCAGCAATTCTAGTTCTAAGAACATAGCCATTCACACTTTTGTACACAGCTCTATATAAGAATGTTCACTATAGAACTCATATATATAACAAGAATATGCAGACAACCTAATCATCCATCCTTAGGGAGGGGATAAATCAATTCTGATTAATACATACTACTACTTGATGTTTCACATCCTTGTCTTCAATCTTCAAAAGTTTTTAAAAACTATAATCAATTATTACCATCCCCAGTATGAATTTATAATAAAATTTAAGTGACTGATAAAACAATCAGTAGAGAGGGTGAGAAAGAAATATTTTAACCCATAATTTAACTAAAACATGGCTTTAAATCATTGTTTCTTAACTTTTCACCATATGCTCAAGAACATAAACTATTTTTGGAATTTTTCCTCTTTTTTATATAACAAGTATTGCCTTATAACAAATTCTTTACTTCTGAAACCAAATGTCTCCAAGTAACTTTCAAATAGTTTTCTGGCCTACGATAATTTTCTCCAATATCAAAGGGATGAGTAATATAGTCAAATGAAGGGAAGCTTCACTTCTAAAGGTAAGTAAAATATAGCAATGAATATTTGCTTCCAGTAGAGTACTCCTTTCATATCTAAGGTCAAGAAGGTGGTTACTAATTCAACTGGACTAGTGAATGATCATAATTGAGACTTTTTATGATTTGCTATTAAGGGTTGAATTGTGTCATCCTCAAAATTCACATGGTGATGCCCTAACCCCCAGTATCTCAGAATGTGACTGTATTTGGACATAGGGTCTTAAAAGAGGTAATTAAGTTAAAATGAGGTCATTGGGGGGGCCCTAATCCAATATGACTGACATAAGAGGACAAAATTAGGACACAGACATACAGACCACATGAAAACATAGGGAGAAGATAAGACATCTACAAGCAAAGAAGAGAGGCCTCAAAAGAAACCAACCCTGCTCACACCTTGATCTGAGATTTCTAGTCTTCACAACTGTGAGAAAATAAATTTCTGTTGTTTAAGCTACTGTTATGGACTGAATTGTGTCCTCCCCAAATTTTTATGTTGAAGCACTAACCTCCAACGTGTATTTGGAAATAGGGCCTTTAAGAAATAAAGGTTAAGTGAGGTCATAAGGGTAGGGGCCCTAATCCAATAGGACTGGTGTCCTTATAAGAAGAGGAAGAGATACCAGGGATGTGCATGGACAGAGAAGAGGCCATGTGAGGACATAGCAAGAAGGTGGCCATCTGCAAGCCAAATAGAGAAGCCTCATCAGAAACCAACCATGAGGGCACCTTGATCTTGGACTTCTAGCCTCCAGAACTATGAGAAAATAAATTTCCGTTGTTTAAGCCACCCAATCTGTGGCACTTTGTTATGGCAACCCTAGCAAACTACTACACTTGCCAATCCAGTAATTTAAAAAAACATTTTTGCTTTTCCATGTCAGAGAAGACAAAGCATTTAAGCATTCCCATTAAAACAATAAAATCACAGCCCAGCTGATGGAAGCTTTTTATAACATCTTTCTTACCTTTTTGAACAAGGTTGCAGGTGCCATTTCAGATCCATTTAATGTTCGTAACAGAAACATTGGCCAAGATGATGTATTCATTTGGTATCCTATTTTATAAAATAAATTAGATATCATGAAAAAGCTTCCCTACAATACTACATAGCAAGTTGGTGTAAAAATAGGTTTTATTCACCATTCTTGAGAGAATGACTTTCTTATCTAAGAACTTGAGACCTGGGCAAGAGGAACAGATGCACCTTCCTCTCATTGCTACAGCCCCCACTGTACTGTCTGGCAACAATGCTACAGTGAGGTAGAAACTGTCATTTTAAGAGAAGCCACTGGCTAGGATTCCCCAACAAACGTGTATATGTTGGGAATGGGCCAATTTACTGGGGGTCATCCAAGCCAGAGCCCAAGAGAGCTTCCATCCTACCAACAACACATAAGCAGGGGCAAAGTTGCAAAAGACTTCTAGCTCCTTTTTCTTCAGAGCCCCAGGCTTCTTTCGTTTCAGAAAGACAGTTTTCTGTGCACATAAAACTGTGCATTTCATTGTATGTAATTTTACCTCAAAAGACAAAAACTATAAATACTTGCTCCAGTTAACGATATACATGCTAAAGTATGTAGAGAAAGTACACTGACGTCAATAACTTACTTTGAAATGCATTTAAAAATCAGATGGATTGATGAATCGACAGAAGGGCAGATAGATGGATAGATAAGTGATAAAGCAAGTATAGTAAAATGATAATAGTAGAATCTAGACAGTAGGTATGTGGGTATTCACTGCAAAATTCTTTCACCATTTTTATGTTGAGATTTTTCATAAAATGTTAGGGGAAAAAGGCTGAGCGTGGTAGCTCACGCCTGTAATCCTAGCACTCTGGGAGGCCAAGGCAGGTGGATCACTCAAGGTCAGGAGTTCGAAACCAGCCTGAGCAAGAGTGAGACCCCCGTCTCTACTAAAAATAGAAATTAATTGACCAACTAAAAATATATATACAAAAAATTAGCCAAGCACGGTGGCGCATGCCTGGAGTCCCAGCTACTTGGGAGGCTGAGGCAGGAGGATTGCTTGAGCCCAGGAGTTTGAGGTTGCTGTGAGCTAGGCTGATGCCATGCAATCACTCTAGCCTGGGCAAGAAAGTGAGACTCTATCTCAAAAAAAAAAAAAAAAAAAAAAAACTTGGCCAAAATTGAGTGTACATATTTTGTACCTTAAAACCTTTGCTAAAAGTTCCATTTTCTTTTCCTCTTCAAAGACCTAAACTACTGACTCCTATCTACTCACTCTAGTTCCTTCCCACCATAAGTAGGATGAAATTCCCAAGTTTGAAAGGGGAACCTGAATGTGGAATCACACCCTTCCCCTATGTACACCCCCATACCAAAAATGCTGAATGGCTCAATGGACAATATCAAGAGAGGATGTGACTTTTATCAATTGCTACAAACTTCTTCCCCAGCAGGATTTCTGAATCTGTATGTGTGATCTAATAGAGCTGTTTCTCACACCTCAAGTTTGAAGACTTAGCATGAGTCTTGCCCTGGAGTGGAGAACCTTCAGCACACATATGCCAAACATGTACTTAAGCACAACTCCACAACAGATGGTACTGAGTTCCTCACTCATCATACATTCTCCACAGTAACCATCTGACCATCTACTATTTTCAAGAATGCCTAAGAGATTTTTAAAGGCCACTAAAAACTGTTTCTATTGAATATCATATTAATAAGAGTATATTATTTTAAAAACTGTTTATTCTTACCCAGTGGAGGTTGAAGTAAGTCTCCTTCCTTTTCACATGTCCCAACAGGCTGTATATCCGGGGAATCAACAAGCCTCCAAAAATCATTTCTATTGTCACTACCATCTAGCCGTAAACGTAATCTGGCCCCAGTAATTCCAATAACCGTAGCAATACATACTGAAGTAATATTGCGAGGGTCACGGGCTTCCAATTTCATACCAACTTTGAAGTCATTAGCTGGTGGAATCTTAGACTATATATATATATAAATAAAATTTTGTTAAAATGTATCAACTATAGGAAAAAACACATGGTCAGTTATGTTACCAGAATACCTGAGGAACATTTTAAGTAATAGTCACAGCAGATGATGAGCGAGGTCAGAGCCATAAGGATCAAGGAAAAGACCTTCTCCAAACTCTCTCCTTGGCTTGATATGTAGCATAAAAACACTGTCCACTACTGGTCTCATTCATCTGTCCACTTCTAGGTAACCCAAATACAACCTCTAAAATGCATCCTGAGTGGCTTTCTAAATAAGAATCTGATTAGGCCACTCCCCTTGAAATAAATCAACCAGCAGCTCACCACTACCTATGATACAGTCCAACTCCTCTGCACAGTTGAAATACCCCCACACCTTTAACCTTATTCCCACATTATTGCCTCTATCTACTTTGTGCTCTAGCCTCCTCATGCCATCCCTCCAACACTCAGATTCTTTCACACCCATGTGCCTTGGCTTTGGATGTTCTCTCTGCCCGGAATATCCTTCCCCTCATTCCAACCATCCCATATAGCACCTCTTCTATGAGCTCTCCCAGTATAGAGTTATCATGCTTCTCATATTTCTTTCTTTACATGTCTATCTTTCCCTTAGATGGGAAATCATAAAGACTTAGTATACCTGACAAAGAGTAAGTTCTTAATGAATGAACACAAAGAGACCATCTGGCTCCTAAGTGGCAGTACTACAATCTCACTATCTCCTCACACTACCAGAACCTAACATTCAATCACACAAACACTCTCCAACAAGTTAACAGTTTATATTAATATATACAACATCTACAGAATTTTGGCATACCTGTCTGAAGCATTCTGAAGGAGCACTTAAAGATCCAGTTTCTTTCAAATACCTGTCCCAGTGGAAATCATCTGGAAAAAGCACATGTACAAAATAGGTGTGTTTTAGTATATATAAATACTACCTTTCAAGAATAAAATGGGTTTTAGTTCCATACCACTTAAAAAGAATACTTACTAAAGAGCAGATTCAAACTTCCCAATCTACATTTGATTATCACCATGAAAATATAAAGTAAGACAACTTCCTAATAATGGCTCTGATATAAATTATAATCCAGATCCTCTCAATGTAATGAGGACTACAGCTTAGTGATTCTAAAAATGTGAATGCTAGAAATAAAGGAATTTTTATAAAGTAATAGCAGAGTCTATCTGTCTCTAATATAAATTTATTTGAGAAATGTGTTTTCACCATTTCATCCCATTAACGTGAAAGTGCTTCTTTGTTGTTCATGGACAGCTAAAGATGTTTAGGTGTTATAGTCTAAATAGCATTTAACTCCTGCACTACTTTATGGAAAGAAAAAATCTGAGAACCAGAGTAGTTTCTCAATGGACCATCAGATCTCCATTCAGAGTGTCAAGAAGATGGTGGTGGAACAAAGCCATTAACCAGTTGTCAGTACAGTCACTGATACAAATTATTTTAGTGATCTACATTTTCTACAAACTCTTGGTGTCCTTTCTCACTTAATCTTCATGATATATTATAATGCTAAAGAAGAAGATCAGAAAGTGGAGTACATTGCCTGGCCTGAACAATTCACTCTGCCAGCCAAACTGTCAAGACACTGAGAAAAAGAGTTGACAGTAGTACTGAAGGTACTATTAATTCATATGAAGTTTATTCTCATCAACCATGAGGTTTTTCTACATATTTGTTAAGTTTTCTCCCTATAAAAATATTGGGGTTGACAGTTCTCATTCTTGGAGTAATCTACATTACCAGCTTCTTATATCCTTTAAAGGATATTACTCTTACATTTACAAATAAACCCCCTCCCCTAAAAAAAACTAGAGTACTGATAAATGTTTAACAACTAGCTTTCTGGAAAATACAACAAAAAACCTGAATGATAGTGTTTACAGATTTCTATAGTGTAAATACTACCACCACAGCTGACTGCAAGGTGAAGCCACCAACCACGAAGTTGGGAAGAGTTGTGCACAATTCCCTGTCCTAAACTGATATGAACCAGATTCCGTGTACCACCATTACGTATGTATTTATATGTGTATGCATATATGGTATTAAGCACGTCTTATGTAACATTCTGCATCTCACTTTTTTTTAACAACAAATATAAGACATTGTTTCATTAAAAAATTACTAGATTTGATTCTGCTTCCAGATGATCTGAAGCAAGCACTACCCACAGTGTTGAAAGTCAGGCATCAGAATGAAAAGAATATGGGCTTTGGAGTCAGACCTACCGATTTCATTTCTAGTGTGGCTCTACTTCTTATTAGCTATGTGACCCTACTCTACTAGCTCTACTTATTAGCTATGTGGGAACAAGTCATTTCACTTTTTCAGCCTCAGTTCCTTCATCTATAAAATAGGAAAAGTAATATATATGACACTAGGTATTTTGAGAATTAAAATGGAATATATCTAAGTCACTCAATAAATGGTATATTATAAAACTAAACATTATAGTTTTACCTAAATCTATGAATACTGGATAGCTTTTTCAAAAGTGAAAACTGAGATCCATGGCTCCAAAATTAAACTGAACAGATGTTTCAGTGACCTCCCCTCACAGCAATAACCTGACAATCAGGAGATCTAAGGTTCTAAATGAATGAACCTCTACCATCATATGATCTTAGAGAGCATTACAAAAGAACAGAACAAAACAAAACACAAATGGGAGAAAAAATCTGACTAGGATTGTCAGTAAGGAGCTGACACCCCAGAGGAAAGGACTGTAAGTTGAAAACAATGGAAAACTAAAACCATTTCACATTTATACCCCAAAGAACAACATTCTTCCTTAAACCAGTGACATTTGGAAAATTTTTCAACGACATTGAACATAGTTAATCCATCTCCCTAACACAAATTTTTAAAAATATTATACCACCATTTCTATCTGAATGAGCTATAATATGAGTTAACAAATCCTTATTATTAGTACTCTGTAATATGATCATTTTCTATCAAATTGCTAATGATAATACGTAACATTTGCCATTTGGAGCTTTAATTTTTTTTTTCATAAGGCAAAATTTTTAGTCTGCCTTGATAAAAACTGATCTTAGCTGCCCATGTGCTGATACCCTATCAATAGCATAAGGGAAACACACACAGCTCCAGGCTTTACTAATTTATATCTGAACCATCTATATCAATACCACAGCTAGAATACCCAACCAGAGCCAAAATAGAAAGTTTTAGCTAAGCCTGAGGTCCCAGTCTGCCTCTGCATCATATCCTCACTGAAAGATTGGGGGAGAGGGTATTCTCGCTCAGAAAAGATGCCCAGGTGTAAATACATAACCTTGTGATCTCACTGTTATTTGCACATGCCCATGGTCCCTCTTCTTGTTTGACTTGTACTCTATTCTAGTCCATACATTAGCTCCAACACCTTTTAGCACTAATTATAATTTATATGAGTCTCCCTGGTCTTCTCCAGAGTAAATCAGAATCTGTCTTCCAGCAGTGCTAGGCCTGGATTCACAAACTATATGAAGATGGGCAAAATATCTGAAGCTTCTCAGCTGAATGATCAGTATCCACTACTTCAAAGTGTGTGTGTGTGTGTATGTGTGTATATATATATATTTGGAAATAGAGTCTTGCTCTGTTGCACTGGCTAGAGTACAGTGGCGTCATTGTAACTCACTGCAAACCTCAAACTCCTGGGCTCAAGAGATCCTACTGCCTCAGCCTCCCTAGTAGCTGGGACTACAGGCACGTACCAACACAGCTGGCTAATTTTTTTCTATTTTTAGTAGAGACAGGGTCTCGCTCTTGCTCAGGCTGATCTTGAACTCCTGAGCTCAAGTGATCCTCACCTCGGCCTCACTGAGTGCAAGGACTATAGGCATGAGCCACCCTGCCCGACCTAGTTCACAGTATTTATCACAGTGATAATTAGGCATTACTTTAATGTCTATCTTGCCACCTAAGCTTAAAGAGGGCAGGAATCATGTTTGTCATGTTCATAACTGGATTCCTATAGTAGGTTGTCAGTATGTCCCAGCCACTCTTCTAGGTACTGTATCAGTTAATAAAATAGATTAAGAAATCCTGGCTCTCTTGGATCTTCTCTTCTAGCAGTCACTCACCAATTTCTAAGATGAGATGTTAGGTTCCAGGCCCTGAGAAACATCTGCAGATAGCTGTCAATTTGATTAAGTAATCTCATTTTTTTAATCAAAAGTTTTGAGAATTTTGAAAAGTTACTAGTTTCTACCTTTAAGTATATACTTTAACTTATTTATATGAAATGTTCAGAATAGGCAAATCTATAGAGACAGAAAGAAAGTAGATCAGTGGTCACCTAAAGCTGGGGGAAGGGAGGTTTTGGGAGAAAATGAGGAGTGACTGCCAACAGGTACAGGGTCTCCTTTTAGGGGGATGAAAATTGATTGGGATGATGGTTGCACAACTCTCTGAACATACTGAAAACCACTGAATTGTACACTTTAATTGGGTGAATTGTATAAGTGAATTACATCTCAGTAAAGCTTTTATATTTAAATAAACAGATGGAGAGGAATTTGTGGGGATGAGAAAGAACATTCTAACTTAATAGCCTCTATTCCTCAGAGGGTTTGGGGGATTGGAGGGAAGAGGTGAAGAACAAATAAGGCCAATGGGAAAGAGAGCTAAGGGAGTACTAAGGACCCAGCTACAGTGAGAGGCAATGATTCCATTGGGATTATTACCTCCATAGGAACAGAACTTCATGGGGTGAACTGCTCTGGGATTGGGGCTGGCAGGGCTGGTACAAGAGAAAGACAAGGGACAAGAAATCTCTGGAAATCGCTGGTAAAACAATAGTTTGCTATGGTATTTTTTCATGCCTTTTGTGTACGTATGACTTTTCTCATTTTCATTAAAAGAGGGCCAATGTGTCAGAGTCTATCTCCAAAATGTCTCTGATGCAGTATTCTATACATGCTGTTCATGATAAGGAACTTAAACATGAATAATAATTCAGGGTTAATAAAGTTAACATTTACTGAACATTTTACTATATGCCTAGGCATTATATTAGGTGATTCACATGCATTTTCCTTTTTTAATTCCAATAGTACCACAAGGTAAGTAATATTATTATCCCTGTGCTACAGAGAAGAAAAAAAGAGTCTGAGAGACATTGAGTAATTTGCCCAAAGTCACACAGCCAGTCAGCAGTGAGGCCAGAATTCTAGAACAGGTCTATCAGAACCCCCAATGCCTAAGCTTGTTACCACTGAACTGTCTTTTGACCATGAAAAAAAGACTTTCACATTGACTCTAAGGTTAAAATAAAAGGGTTTTTAATAATAATTAAATTATTTTAAATTGGTAATACATGGTAACTAGTAACTAGAGACCTATAATTTGGCAAAATTTGCACTGAAATCCACAAAGTTATCTTTTTAGTTAATCCATACCAATTTACCTCTAAGTAAAACCAAAATAAAATTTTCAAAATAAAACACAAGTTTTTTACATTTTTTATTGTTTAGATTTTATATGTACAGGAGTTTACTGTACATGGACTATATCAAAGACAATGAGAAAAGAGTTCATTTTAAACACTGACTGAGAAAAAATATATGTTGTATCAAACTACTTTAAAACCTACCCTTTTGCACAGAAGATGTGCTTGACTGAGGAGTTTTCTCTTGATTCTCCTTTTTGACATCCATTGAACCTAATAAAAAAGAAAGTAGTCAGCAATATTGGGAGGCCAAAGCAATAATGTGAAAAGAACACTTTGAAAAACTATAAACTAAAACTATTTTTAATAGGAGTCAGTTTTAATTTTATAATTAATATCCTTATTTTCTATATAGGACTTAGTTTCTAATATACTATGGACTTCATAATTTGCTCATTTATTTTATTTATCATATATCTCATTCTACTTAAATCTCCAAAAAGGGGCAGGATTTATTTTGTCTGTCTTGCTTAGTGCTGTATAATCAAGTGCTTAGTATAGCACCTGGCATGCAGAACACCCTCAAGCATTTGTTCAATGAATACATCAATAAACCAAAATGAGCTGATCTTTACGATGTTTACATTGGTATGTCCTAGAAATAAAATAGATGCTTTTTAGAGTTCCAAACATAACAGGGAAGCTAGAATACAATGTAATTCAATGGGCCAGGCAAGAGCTTTTTTTCTCGGTGCCAAGCTAAAGAACTCAAATAACAGTGGACCTTGTGACTGCACCAAATCTAAATCCACATATATCACTGTTTGTATCTCTAAATGGACTTATTTTTTTTAATTAAGCATAATATTTTTATTACATCTAAAAATTAACTATAATTCCTTAGCATCAAAAATAACCAATGTTCATAGCTCCCCAATTGTCTTAATTGTTTTAAATGTGTCTATCTGAATCAGGACCCAAATAAATTCTACACATAGCAATGGTTGATATGTCCCTTTTTTTTGAGACAGGTTCTCACTCTGTTGCCTGAGCTAGTATCCAGTAGCATCATCACAGCTCACTATAACCTCAACCTCTGGGGCTCAAGCGATCCTCCTGCCTCAGCCTCCCAAGTATCTGGGACTACAGTAGCGTGCTACACATATGGTTAACATTACTATTTTTTGTAGAGATGGGGTCTCCCCATGTTGCTCAGGTTGGTCTCAAACTCCTGGCCTCAAGCTATCCTCACACCTCAGCCTCACAAAGTGCTGAAATTACAGGCGTGAGCCACTGCACCCAGCTTCTTATGTCTCTTTTGATCTATAGCAGGGGTCCTCAAACTTTTTAAACAGAGGGCCAGTTCACTGTCCCTCAGACCGTTGGAGAGTGTGGCGCACATTCCACACATACGCACTGTGGGCCCAGGACGAGTCGACTGCTAAAGCAGGACAGGCAGCGGTGGCACCCAGTGGGCTGCATAAATGTCCTCGGCAGGCCGCATGTGGCCTGCAGGCCATAGTTTGAGGACACCTGATCTATAGGCTCCTCGCCCTCCTCCTATTTTTTTTCCTTCCCCTTACATTATTTCTGCTAATAATACCAGTTAGTTAGTCCTTTTAGAATTTTCTAGTCTGGATTTTGGTGACTCTTCCCCCATAGTATTGGGTTCCTCTGATTCCTATATTTTCTCTAAATTGGCATTAGTATTTAAATCCAGAAGAGTTTAATCAGATTTAAGTTTGGCTTTTGGGGGGAGAGGAGAAGATAAGATGACTTCATAAGCAGTTCTGTGTATTTCTCACAGGAAGCTCCTAATATTTCTCTCTCTTTTTGTGATGTGAACAGTTATGATGGCTATTTCCTAGATCAATTAGTTTATTAGTGATTGCAACATGGAGGTATTCTAATTCAATCAGTCTTTATTAACTAGGAAACTTCTATAGAGAGAAATCTCCCCTCTTTTGACCATTCAGTTACCCCAAGGTACAGATCACACAAGAATGTCACAATCAATGCTTTATTCTTTTCTTTATTTTCTGGTTTTCAAGATGATGAGTTGGATCTCTAGCATTCTCCACTGATTCCAAATAAGTTTTGTTTTGGTTTTTAGTATCATTAAGAACTCATGGATTTAAACATATTTGATATTTTTCCATCCATTGCTGTTTTGCCCTTATTGATGCTTTAATTGTCAGGTGGCAACATTTTTAAAGAAGGATCTAAGAATAATGCCATTCAAGGTAACAGATCTGGGGGGTGGAGCAAGATGGCAGACGAATAACACTGCCAGACAGAGTGTCTCTGCAGAAAAGACAGATTCTAGCAGAAATTAGAGGAAAGAAGCAAGAAGACGAGCATACAGCGGACGAGGGCCGGAAGGAGGGGTATCTGAGACCCCTGGAGACTACACGGGAGGAGGCTGTGGAGGAGAACTGGAGGCTGAGACCACCGGAGCAGCCCGGAGACAAGCAGCAAGGGTAGGTGGACATGCTGTTTCCCCTCCCCTGCATTTGGGACTGCTGGTGGGCTCCCCAGCGGGTGGAGAGACCTGCGGACAACAGCCCAGAGACCGCCGTCGCCAGCCAGCGGTGAGTCTGTAGCAGACGTGGCACCAGGTTCCCAACATCCTCCGGGCACCTCCCAGTGCACAGACCCGAGCCGCGCGGCAGGCGCCATATTGCCTCCTCCTCCCCTCGACCGACCCTACCCGCGGCTGCCCAGAGAGACAATACAGCCACCAGCCAGAGGCACCTCCAGGAAATGGGACCTTCCCTTTTGGGACCCTACAGCTGACTCAGGGGAACTCAGAGTGTGAGCTGCCTACCCGCCCGCCCTCCCAAGAGCTGCTGGCACAGTGTTACAGGAGAATGGTGCCGACTCAGAGGCTGAGAGACAAACACCTAGCTTGGGCTCCCTGTGGGTGAATTGCGACCGGAAATCCTCCCCTGGTGGCATACAGTTTGAACTCTGGGACCCAGAGGTCGGACCTGCAGACCAGATCCCCTGAACCAAGGGCTAGCATTGCCCGGGGCACAGAAGGGTCTAACACTGAACAGACTACTGAGGTTGTGTGTGCCTCCAGGGTGGATAGGCGTCCTAGAGGGCAACCCTCCTCCCAGGAGGACCGTGCGCCCAACCCAGGTGTGCGTTCCTGTGCAGGAACCTCCCCACCGGCATCACAGTCTGGGGAGGCCTGGTGCTTGTGGTCTGGCCTGTGGCAGAGGCCCAGGAGTAGCTGCGCAGTTGGGGAGGGTGGAAAGAAGCGAGGGCCGCTCCAGACTGCGGGTCTCAGACAGCCCCACCCCCACACCCAGACTTTCTGGCTGAGCGGGACCATTCCAGCCCAGGAGTTTGAGGTTGCTGTGAGCTAGGCTGACGCCACGGCACTCAATCTAGCCTGGACAACAAAGCGAGACTCTGTCTCAAAAAAAAAAAAAAAAAAAAAAAAAAAAAAAAAAAAAAAAAAAGCTCACTGTAGCAGAAGATGTTCATTCCAGACAAATAACTAAAAACATTATATACACTCAAAGGAAAATATGTAAAAAAAAAAAAAAAAAAAACATTATCATCTTTAGGCAAGTAAATCTTACCTTCATTCGCTGTTCGTCCCATAGTATCCCTTTCTGATTTTCTTTCCTACAAAGAGAAAAATCAATTAATACCTCCTTTTAGCATAATACATTTCTGAAGGATAGTAGTATTTAGAAATCAGTTATAGGATCAGATCATTTCAATGACCTTCCCATGAATAAAAATGATAAGATTAGTAAATTAGTAGTTACCTGGGGCTGGAGAGGAGGGAATAAGGAGTGACTGCTAATGGGCACAGGCTTATGGGGTTTCCTTTTTGGTGTGATGAAAATATTCTAGAATTAGACAGTGGTAGTGGCTGTACTGCCTTATAAATACACTAAAAACCACCAAATCGTACACTTTCAAATGGTGAATTTTAAAGTATATAAATTATATTAAAAATTAAATGAGAAGATGGCGGACGAATAACACCGCCAGACAGAGTGTCTCTGCAGAAAAGACAGATGCTAGCAGAAATAGAGGAAAGAAGCAAGAAGACGAGCATACAGCGGACGAGGGCCGGAAGGAGGGGTACCTGAGACCCCTGGAGACTCCACGGGAGGAGGCTGTGCAGGAGAACTGGAGGCTGAGACCACCGGAGGAGCCGGAGACCAGCGGCAAGGGTAGGTAAATTTGCTGTTTCCCCTCCCCTGCATTTGGGACTGCTGGTGGGCTCCCCAGCGGGTGGAGAGACCTGCGGACATCAGCCCAGAGACGCTGCCGCCAGCCAGCCATGAGCCTGTAGCAGACGTGGCACCAGGTTCCCAACTTCCTCCAGGCACCTCCGTGTGCACAGACACGAGCCGCGCGGCAGGCGCCATATTGCCTCCTCCTCCCCTCCGCCGACCCTACCTGAGGCTGCCCAGAGACACAATACAGCCACCAGCCAAAGGCACCTTCCCTTTTGGGACCCTACAGCTGACTCAGGGGAACTCAAAGTGTGAGCTGCCTACCCGCCCGCCCTCCCAGGTGCTGCTGGCACGGTGTTCCCAGGAGAACGGTGCCGACTCAGAGGCTAAGAGACACAGACACAGCTTGGGCTCCCTGTGAGTGAATTGGGACCGGAAATCCTCTCCCTGGTGGCATACAGTTTGAACTCTGGGACCCAGAGGTCGGACCTGCAGACCAGATCCCCTGAACCAAGGGCTAGCATTGCCCGGGGCACAGAAGGGTTATAAGTGAACAGCCTGCTGAGGTGTGTGTGCCTCCAGGGGTGGATAGGCGTGTTAGAGGGAAACCCTCCTCCCAGGAGGAGGTTCTCCTCAATAATGTGAGGGCTTAAACTCTCACTCAAAGACCCAGGCTGGCTGATGGATAAGAAGCCAAGTATATGCTGTCTTCGGAAACACATCTAACTGCAAGGATGCATATAGACTAAAAATAAAAGGGTGGAGATCAATATTCCAACAAAAGAGCCAAAAGAAAGCTGGTGTGGCAGTTCTAATTCAGACGATTCAGTTTTAACAACAAAAGTAGTGAAAGAAAAGAGGGTCATTATATAATGGTGAAGGCACAGTTCAACGAGAGAGATAACAATTTTAAATATATATGCACCAACTTAGGTGCACCCAGATTCATAAAGCAAACTTACTGGAGCTAAGCAAATGGATTATACACCCCATAATGCGGAGATTCAACACCCCACTGACGGCACGAGACAGATCCTCCAAACAGAAAATTAATAAAGAATTAATGATTTAAACAATCTAGAACAATTGGTCTGACTGACATTTACAGAACTTCTACCAAAATCACTGAATATACGTTCTTCTCATCAGCTCATGGGACATTCTCTAAGATTGACCATACCTAGGACACAAAGAAATCTCAAGAAATTTAAAAAAATAGAAATCATACCATGTACCTTCTCAGATCACGTGGAATAAACTAGAAATCAACCTAACAGAACTCACATTTCTACACAAAACGTGGGAATTAAACACCTCTTACTAAATAATTACTTCATAAATGAAGAAATCAGACGGAAATAAAAAATTCTATGAAGAAACGACAATGGAGAGCAAGTTTATCACTCCTCTGGGACACAGCTAAGCAGTTCTGAGAGGAAAGTTATTTCCATAATGCCTGTAAACAAAGACAAGAAGATCAAATAGACAATCTAATGAAACGACTCAAAGAGCTGGAAAAAGAAGAGCAGACCAACCCAAAGCAGCAGAAGAAGTGAAATCAACAGATCAAATCAGAACTAAACGAAATGAAAACAGGGAAGCTATTCAGGAGATAAATGAAACAAAAAGTTGGTTCTTTGAAAAAAATACAACAAATTGAACACCGTTGGCTAAGCTAACGAAAGCAGAAAGAGAACTCTAATAAGCTCATCAGGAACAAAAAAGGAGATATCACAACTGATCCAAAGAGATACAAGTACAATTTATGAATACTACAAAAATCTTATGACACAACTGGAAATGTGGAGGAATGGACAAATTCTCTCAACACAGCCTCCCTAGGCTCAACAGGAAGAAATAGATTCCTGAACAGACCAATCTCAACAGCTGAAATAGAAACAGCAATTAAAAACTCCTAAAAAGAAAGTCCGGTCAGATGGCTTCACACCTGAATTTTACCCACTTCAAAGAAGAACTAGTACTATCTTGCAGAAACTATTCCACACATCGAGAAGAATGGAAACCTCCCGACATTTTATGAAGCGAATATTACTCTGATACCAAAAACAGGAAAGGATGCAACAAACAAAGAAGACTACAGACCAATATCCTAATGATATAGATGCAAAATTTTCAACAAATCTTAGCAACCGAATCCAGAATACTTATCAGAAAAAT